TACTTTGGCATAAATGGATTCCTTCACTCTTCTTTCAAACCACCTATCTTCTCTTTATTTAACCACATAATCAACGTTCTGGGTTCAGATGACATAGAGAACCATAAATATTGCTGAGTTGATATAGCACACTAAGTTGTGGTTCATTGTGTCGCGTGAACAGAACTAAAGATTTTTAGAACATGTAACACTGAAGCAAAAAAGTGTCCAGAACCCATACATACTGATACTGATTTTTTTTTCTCTGAATGCAGAAAAGTCAGGGATAAAAATGTTTTCCTTTATTTGGTTGGTGCTATTCCATCTTTCCTCCACAAACCCAAAACAGCATACAGAGCAGTTGTTCTTTTCCAATGTTAACCTCCCAGCAACAGCCTTGTGAGATGATTTAGGCTGAGAGAGAGAAAGACTGGCTGAGTGCCAAAGTCACCTAGTGAGCTTTCATGGCTGAAGGTTGATTTGATCTTGGTTCTCTTCAGTCCTAGTCTAGAAACTTAATCTGTGGTTTATGACCCCCCTGGGGAGTTGTAAACACATCTGAGGGGGGGCATCAGTTTCTGCCTAACCATGATGGTTGGGAGGTCAGGAAGTGAAGGGCTTGCAAGGCGCCAACTCCCAGGAAGGCAAGAGCCTGAACTACAGGTGACACATGGCCAATGGGGAGGAAAGGTATAGCATAGACCATCCTATTTCCCATTTACCTGGGAAATGTTATTCTAGATGGAAAATGAATGGGCAGTCCAGCTATCTTCAAGTTGCTGAGGTTGAGAAACACTGTAAAAGGATAGCCATGACACCACAAAGTTTGGGAAACCCTGCCTTAACTATTGTCCCACACCACAACACTACAGCCAGACCCATTCTTCCTAAAGCAGAGGTCTGAAATGCAACCCATGTGTGCAGCCTTAGCTGTGCATCCAATTTCCTCATGATGCAATTTCATAGCTTTAGTAACAAACATTGCTGTCATTTATGACTGGGATGCTTGGCTAAGGGCCATCTTGTTTAATTATCTTAGACCTGCTGGTTATTTATTAAATTGTATATGTGTTGATGGGAGGCTGGTCCAAACAGAGGATTGTCTTTGCCATTAGGGAGATTTTCATGTTCTCCTCCCTTCAATCTCTACCCTGTAGAAGAAGGAAACAGGTGCAGTATATTCTGCATATGCTCACCTATGGCTGCAGCATTTTCCTCCGTCATCTTGGCACTGCAGTTGGCTCCTCCAAAAGGATAACGGCAAGCACAGACAAAGCCCTTCCTTTCATTAACACAGGTCCCTCCATTTTGACACGGGGAGCTGCTGCAGCTCAGATAATCCCCTGGATTGAAAAGAAAAAAGCATGAATGGCCAGGGTTAGCCCCCACAGCAGAAAGTAGCATCCAAGATTAAAGTTAATTTATGTTTAGTCCCTGGTTTCTCTCATCCCTTCACCAACTGGATAGGGATGAATCACTCCATCAATTTATTTGCAATCCACATCAGTTTCCTATATGTTGAGTCCAACCATTTGCACATTTTATGCCTCAGATTTGTAATATACACTGTCACATGCAGTTTTGCCCAACATATATGCATGCATTTTCCCTAATACTCAAGTTTAGAGCATAGACATCCATCTTAAAATTTAAGAATCCACTGTAAAAGTTAACAATTCCCAGTCATTTATCCATAGTTACTTGAAAGGAACACAGTCCTAATTTTAGATAAATCTCTTCACCCTCAAAGAGGATACAGGAAAAAAAAAATCATCTCCTTCAAATTGTCATATCCTCAGGAAATCTAAGATAACCCTTATATTTTAAAGATAAATTCCTGGGTTGGTGGTGGTGGTTGTGGGGGAACCTAGTCTATACAATATTTGTCTGAAAAGTGAAAATTAGGTCCGTTCACTGAAACTGAAGAAATGAACAGAATTCTTCCCCACCATTCCTAGTCAAGTCAGCCACCATTATTTATTTGCATATAAATTATGCTGTTTTCCAGCATAGTGTATTTGTTCTTCCTAATGTTATTTGCCATCGGGGAATTTCATCAGACATTCTTTGCTGGCCTAGATGACATTGGGACTCAACTGGCTAATCAGTCATCATTTCTGTCAATCTAAAATGAAAGGGCTGCACTCAGCCCAGCTCTGCATGCCTGGATGTACTGTCAAGTAACATTTCATTCATCAATAAAATACCTCTTAATGTTTTACAATCCAGCTCCCATTTTACAGATGGGAACCTAAGCTGCATGATTTCCTTAGGATTTGAACAAAATTGGGTACTCTGAAGGTTGACTTACAGGATAAGCATAATGGAGGCCTGCTCTTTTATCATGAAAATAGAAACTTCTCGTGAACATCTCACTAGAGAATAATGTTTGTTTTTGACCAATATTTTGGTTTATTTTGAATTAATGGCATATTTAAATCAACTCCTTAAAACTTGGTGGGCCATCCTATAGCAGAATGCATGCAACGTATGAAACACTGTTATACTGGGGAATGTTAATTTATAAACCACCTTCTTCCCAAAATACTCAGGGCATATACATGGCTTCCTATCTCAGCTTATTTCCCCACAGGATGCCTATGCAAAGGTTATGCTGAGAAAGCAACTAAATTAAGTTATTAGTGAGCAAAAGACTGAGGGCAGATTTGAATCCAGGCCTGTGCAACCTTATCCTGACACTGTAATCACTATATCACTATGTCTTCTTGGCTTTTAAAGCAGGACTAGTTATTGCAAAGATATTCAGTCCAACAGACCAAGTATAGCCTTCAGCAATATAACAAGCAGGAGGCGGGTGGTAAGAGACCAGATGTATTATATAAACATGTCTCTATTTTCATGTGTGAAATGCTGGGTGGGCAGAGATGCATTAACAATGTTAAATCTAGTGAAACAGAACAAGCACCTGAAGGCATTTTGAATATTCTGCAAGACACCACACAGCTTTTCGTATATAAGAATATGCAAAAGAATAAACTCAGCCTCTAAGTACAACAAAATCAAGACATAGAGCTGTTCTAAGCTCTGTTATAGACTGCAGGTAGTTAAAATACCTTTTATATAGAAAGCTGTCTTCACAAGGAGAAGGGTCCAGCCTGTCATTTTACTTGACCTACTATATTTTGATGGTTTTTCATGAAACAGCACTCTAATATATCACCTGTAGTTACAGCCATTCCACCTGGCCAATGCAATGAGAAAGGTGAGTGTATGGGCCACTCCCTCAGCTTAGTTGAGACCAACATCTCTTTGACTCTCCTTTTTAAGAACTGCCATCTTTATGGTCAATTTCCCACCTATATCATTGGGAACATAGGCAATCTGAATTTATTTGTTTTCCTCTCCCCTCTGTGTAGCCCTTCGACTTTCTCATTGTAAGTGCAAGGGTAGAACCTGGATCATTTTTAAAACCTTCCTATAACACCAAGAAAAATGTAGGCATTTTATAAACAAATCCTAACAATTCCTACCTGCAGCTTGCATGGATACATTTGGGTACAGGATACTTCCTTGATTCTGTTACATATACAGTATAAATTGAATACTCAGAGACAACCAGATCCCCCTTGAACTGTCCTCTAGAAGTCATTGTTCTATAGCACTGTGATACACAACTGAACTGAACTGAATTACTAGAGACTACACAACACATTTACCACTTAGGACTTCTAAGCAGTAATAACAGAGTATACATGTTCTTGCAACAAGATTGCCAGGCAGGCCAGCCTCTGGGTATTGAAAGAATAGGCCAGGTATGCTTAAGAGGTAGGTAGATAGGTCTAGGAGATGAAAAGGGTTTTCAGAATGAGTGCTGATTGCTTGCAGATGTATGAATTGCCTCTTTTCACAGGCACTTCATTGCTACTCTGAGCTATCTTTAGTTTGCAGCCCAATCACAGCACTTCAACGGTGATGAATTTGAGCTTACCAGGCTAAATGCAAAGCTTTGTATGAGTCCACCCTCCCCTTCTGAAGTTAGTCAGATGATGTTTACAGCCTGAAACACACTGAGAAGTTTTTGTGTGACTTAACTAAGCATTTACTCATTCTTTCTCTCCTGCTCTCAACACACACTGCATTCCATCGATCACAGCAATAATGTCCAGGACAAAGCAATGTACAAGTGCAGTTCAAATGTCAGGAACATGAGAGGAAATGTTAGCTTACTTAGCTTTATTTATAGGATTTGCAGATAAACAGGAAAGCACAAAACAAAGCCCCAAATGCTACAGTAGACCCAAGTCTAGTTCTTACTGGGATGGAAAATCTATATTAAATTCTGGATCTTCAGACAGAATTAAAGCTATTATTCAATTGTATAGCTTTGTAGAATTCAATTTATACACACTTTTAGCCCATAAGGCAGAAGTCTAAGCAAGAATATTTGATAGCTAAGCCCTCCTCCACGTGTACACTAACCGATGGCAGAGGAAAGAGTCAGCAGAAGTTTGCAGTATCAGAGCGAAACATACATAAGAAAACCTACAAAGCACTCTGATTTTCTAGATGCAAGAAATTTTATTGTATAAGAATCTCATACGATGATATTGTTGCTAGGAAGTTCGGAAATAAGTGGGCTACTTCAGCGAGACAATGGCACTGTATTGACTTACTCCATTTTAAGACCACTCCTTCCCCAAAGATCTCAACTTTTACAGTCTTACAATGAGACAGCGATATTGTGATGCCACGCCATGAGGAAGCAACAGCCCAAATCAAACAGCTTGGGACAATCCCCACAGTCTTCATGATCCAGCAAGGACTGAAGAGACCAAAGGGGCTGAATCAGTTCATTACTTTCAGGACCATGGCCAGCAGTTCTGCAATGACCCCTCCGACATGCTAATTCATCTGTCTTTAGGGTTGAGATTGTCTGAGATTTCATCCTCAATCTGCATACAACAGTCAGAGCGGAACATGATCTTGTCTATTGTTATCATATTTAAGCTCTATTTTTCTTCCCTGATAAGACATGTCTCATGGCGCTCAAAGGTAGTTGTCCTCAAGGCACTGGCCTGATGGAGTTGATGCATCATGTGCCTTGGTACCACTGATAGGCCATATACCCCAGTTCACAAAAAACTTGTATTCCTACTTTCTCAGTGATCTGATTTTGACCCTGAGTAATAACAGTGACAGATATTTTGTCTGTTTTTGCTCCAAGGATGGCCAATTGCTTAAGGGCTTAATCAACAGAAGGAACATGTACTGTTTCCCTCCCTGTTTGGGAGTCTGTCCATACTTCAGCAATAAGGAACTGCTGCTGTTGTAGCCATTCCGTTTCCTATATGAGGCAGTGGTGTCCATCTCCAATTATTTTCCTCTGGGCAAATTACAAACAACAATCACACACTTACCCCTGTCTCCCACCCTACAGAACCACATATGCAAAGCTGAAGCATGAAGAGCTAAACTAAATTAGAATTATGCTCAATCTCTTGCAATGAAAACACATGTAGGGAGATGTCTTTGCACTGAACAATAAAGCAACAGTGGGATAATATATGTTACAATTTATGTTTCAAGCACATCATTATTTTGAGGTCCTCACTCAGTTACCAGATCTCCTAGGTTCAGGCCTTAACTAAGTGCATAGAATCTAAAAGCTTAAAGTGGTGCTTATCAGGACAGGAGATTGAACCTGGAATTCTGGTGTGTGTGTATGTGTGTGTGTGTGTGGGGGGGAATCTAAATCTCTGTTTGTGCTGATAGCTAACATATATGGATCGTCTTCCTTCCCATCAGCTTAACAGACTTATTTGGCAGGTCTTATGTCTTTCTATAAGTCACTCAAGAGGCACCCTATAGAAAATAACTTGCTTCCTTAGTTCCAGCTCTCTCTCTTGTGGATGAATGAAAACTCTGGGGTGACCTTCCCAGTCAGCATAAATCATCAATGGGAGTAGTTCCCTACTCACTCATATAATGTGGAGTTTCATTACCAAGATAGTGAGACCCTTTATCCCCAACAAAAATTATCACCAAAAGTTTGTTCACTGTGGGATTAGTGTACCATGTAAAATCAGTCTTAACAAAGCATTAGTTTTCCAAAATTATGCAAATAATATTAGGGTAGATAGTTTAATGGTTTGATACAACTTCATATGTTGAGACCTTCCACTCTTCCTAAAATCTTTGAAATCATCTTTGTCATATTTATGCTGTTTTGTGAAATTGCCATTTATAAAGGAACAGCTTAGGTTGAAATACAGGAAGCTCCACATGGAAAGATGGGATAGTTTGCAAAAATGAGCTAAAGTAGTTCATTCATACAACTGCTGACTTCTACTATTTTTACCGCTGCAGAAAAGATGCTCCCAGGGAATTAAGTGAATAAGCAGCCATATATGAAATAAAGTTGAATACTGTTGAGCCCAAATCCACTTTAAAGGTTTTATGTGCTTGATTATCAGATGAAGTGCAAGCACTTGAATTTAGGTATGCTCTGAGCATGTGCTCTGAGACGGAAGGAATGGAAATTAAGGCAACAATGCACAAAAAAGAATGAAAATGCATTTGCTGTTCACCAATGAACCTTATTGTGCATGCAAATAATTGTTTTTTCAAATCCATTTTTAAAAAAAGATAATTCAAAATAATATGTCTCTTGTCTTTAGAGAAATCCTGTAGCAGCCTTATATTAAGTTTTTTGCCAGGGGATTTTATAAACTGTTTGCCACACCTGCCATGGAGTCTCAGTTATGTAGTCATTATTCAACTGACCACACGGGAACAATGCTGATTTACTTGCAAAGAGAACCTGGGACTTTCGTTATGCTATGTTTATAGTCTACTAACTCCAGTCTTATCTCCAGGAAGTCATTGCTTTTTCCCATAAGTTCTAAATTGACTTGCTCTATGGTGGCCCTATGTTTGATTGATCACAGCAGATCATTTCCATGTAGTTGCTAAGAAGACAACCTGTAGTCATCAGGAGCTCATTCTGATAAACCATTTAGCTTCACCTTATATTACATTGATTCTATGTTCATCTGCCTTGTTTTGCTTGATTTTAGATGTTTTTATCCACATTGTCTTATCCTGAATATAATTTTAGCTCAAATTTAGAGCTAAGCAAATATTCCTGAGAGACTCAGGAAGGTCACATGACCATTGGACAAGCCCAGCAATTCTCCTCAGCTCAGGAAAATGAAAATCTGCAGACACAGAACTTATTTAATAGAGCTTTGGAAAACCTTCCAACAGAAGTGGCCAAAAATAGTATAAAATAACCTTCCCCCAAAATCCTACAGCTTGTGTGGCCATTTGCCAAATTGGTTCAGAGATTCTGAGAGTTGCACTCTCAACAAATCTGAACAGGACCAAATTTGAGAAGGCTGCCATCCAGAAATGCCCCTATTGCTGTTTTGCTTGTTTGCCTCAACATCTAATTTTTATGATTTCTATGATTTCTGTATTTTTGTATTTCTTTTTTATTTCCAAGCCCAATACCCTATAGATGTGGGGATAAAAAGTCCCAGGATTCATAGTATCACTGCTTGGGAATTCTAGAAAATATAAATCAAACATATCTGGTTGGAGGAAGATCATTTTATGTGGGGTTCAGATATGTAAAGCCACAAAGATTGGGATAACATAAGGTGGTTTGTTTGGTTTGAGCACAGGATGTTATATAAACCTAGCCAATTCAGTAAAATATTCAAACAAACTACAATTTAACACAGCGTCTGAACCTGGTTAGTAAAACAAAAGGGATTTAAACAATCCCTGCTAATTATTTTGGTGCTTGGTTGAAATTAATACTTGTTGCCATGGGCTTAGGGTTTTTTTTTAAAGGACTTAAATTAAATATATTATCTTCTCATATGCAGAATCTCATTTTCCCTTAAAAATGAGCAGATTTTTACAAAAAAGAAATCACACTTAAATCTTATTGCATTTAAGCATGAATAAAGGAAACACAGGGGGACGGGGTGGCGCAGCGGCTTAATGATGCTGAAAGTTGCCGGCCAGAAATGGTCAACGCTTCAGTGGTTCGAGTCCAGCCTTCGCGTTAAACAGGGTGTGCTCCTGTTTGCTCCCCAGTTCCTGTCAACCCAACACTTCGAAAAAAACTTACGTGAGTAGATAAATGGGGACTCTCACTCTGGTAGGAGGGAAAAATGCTGGCGGCGCCTTGCAAAAAAGGAGTGGGGAGCAGTGGCCGGTAAGCGCGAAAAACCGCGCGTGCCCGAAAAGGGCGCGAAGCAACAGAAACCCCGCCTCCTGTGCTCGCCAGCTGGGCTCTGTTCTAGGAAGGAGGCTCTGGCAAACCACTTCTGAAAAACAATTGCCTTGAAAACTGCAAGGACTCGTTCAAGCAGTCACTGCAGGGTCAGCAATGACTGAGCGCATACAAAAAAAAAAAAGGAAACACATCTTTGGAATATTTCAGGCAACACTAATAACAGTGGTAACATTACAGTGCGTTACCTGCTTCTAAAGTAGAATCAGTGTTTCTCTGACTTCTCCCAGCCTGGTTTGCACTGGTATTCACAGGCATCTTTTTCCCTGGTAATGACTTCTTTGGAATAGTAGCAGTTGTCTTTAGACGTTTGGTTATCGTGTCTACTGCCTCTTCTAGGGACTTGTCTACATACCAGGTTAGGTTGGCCAGCAGTGTTTCTGTTTTGGCCTCCACCATGGTGCCCGTGAGCTCTTGGAAGCCTTTCTGAAATAGTATGCCACCTGAGTGAACAGTTGGCATCAGTTTGGGAATGCTGGTATTCATCTCTCTAATCCTTCCAGAGACATCCTGACACAAATTCCTTGCTTCATTGGCTGTCTTGTTTAAGAGAGGGATGCTCAATGATAAACGGATGCTTTTGGCTTCAAGAGCCCTGATTCTGGAATTGAAGGTCTGAAGCTGAAGAGAGACTGCTTTCTCATTCTCTGTTGCAGCTGCTTTCACGTTCCTTACTGAGACGCAATTGTTTGCCAAAAATTTGATGATTTTTGCCTCCACAGCCTGAAGACGCACTTCAAGATCATTGTATTCATGACTGCCGAGCAATATTTTCTCATCCTGGTGACCTATGTGTTGCTGGTGCTCTTGAACATTTAATAATGTTGTGTTTGGGTTAGGGTGACCTCTGCTGAGGTGATGGACGTTCCGTTTATCAAAGGAAGATTCTGCAGAGGGCCAAATTCTTTTTGGTTTCTCATTTTGGTTGACTAGTATCTGAAGGGATTCATTCATCTTTTGAAATTGTGGTATTAACATAAATACATTCTCCATCTTCTCCCTGTGACTGCAGCAAGCTTCTGTCTCATTTTTCCAGGTATTCAGTGTTTCTTTTAGCACATAGTTATCTTGGATGGAATCAATAGCACCGTTGATAACCATCATGGTCTTGTTTAATCCATCCTCCATTAAAACAAAACATTCATTAATATGCCTCTCAGAAATTTCATCATGAGCTTGAGTTTCATTTTTAAGTACCTCCTGGTTTTTGTGGAGTTTCTCCATGGTGGAGCTCAGCCCTGTCACCACACTGGTTAAATTCTCCAGTTTTCGGCTAATAGTATCTGTTTCAAGTCTCAATTCATCCTCTGATGTAAGGCTGAAAGGAACTCCTTGTTCAATCAAGGGTTGGAGAATCTCCATATCATAGCAGAGGTCATTAATTTGCTCATTCATTTTCTTCATCTTATCATCCAAGGGAAACACAAGATTCTCCACAGTTTTATTTAAGGAATGAATGTCCCCTTCCACATCCTTCATTTGCATTTGGATGTCACTTCTGCACTTGGACAATATGTTATCACATCTACCTTGTAAATTATCTCTCTGGATTTCTAATGAGATGGTAAGATTATTGATCTTGGTATCTTGGATTCTGAGGTCATCATAGAGCTGCAAAACCATCAGGCTCTGTGTTTTCATTTTCTCCTGTAAACTTGTCATGAAATTTGTAAGATTATCACTCATTGATTCAGCAGCTATGGGGACATTTTGGTCTGAGCTTCGTTCAGCTGATAAAAGTTGTTCATGTGCTTCTTTCATTTGAGTAAGAGTTTTGTTCAGGGAGTCATAGTAAATATCACTCCTTGAACTTTGATGCTCTAGGTCAATTTCCAAAGACCTCTGCTTTTCTTGCAGTTCTTCGATTGGCTTCTCACATACAAAGCTTATGTCTTCTTCAATATGCAAGATCTGGGTTCGAATATCTAGAATTTCTACCCTTGTAGGTCTATTTTCAATATCAAGGGCAAATTTTTGGCAGGATTTATTCAAACTTTTGACCAACCCTTTGGTATTCTCAAGATCTTCAGAGAGATCCGATGTAATCTTGAAAATCTGAGCCACTGTCTCTTGCATGTCACTTTGGAAGGCTTTAAACTGCTCTTTTACAATTTCTTTGATAAGTTCAGTCACGCCTTTAGATTTGAAACCTACAGGGGGGAAAAGACACAAAAGCCTTCCTTAATAAACAGACTGAGAAAAAGCAAAAATCCAATATTTAAGCAAACCTCGGGGTCCCTCTCTCTCTCTCTCTCTCTCTCTCACTCACTCACTCACTCACTCTCTCTCTGTCTCTTCTGCTAAAACCCATTGTTTTGCCTCTGTATGTGGCAGGAACAAAACAATGTTTTGTGCCATAACATTTGCACAATGTGTTCCTGGGTGGATTATTACCTTCACTGAATCTCAAAGGGGTTCTGTTTGAATAGCATTTTTGCTAGTCAGCCTCATCCTTTTAATCAGTTTTGCTGTCCTGGGGGAGGAGACATAGTGTATGCTCCCTCCAATTATAAACCACTGTGACAGGGTGAAATGTAACCACAGATTCCAGCAGATTAGTCCAAAGGTTTAAAGGAACTCTCCAAATATACAGTTATCTACCTGGGGGGAAAATGATGAAAGGTCAGTGGTACTGAAATGATTTTAATTTGCTGTTATCTAATCAGCACTCAAATTGCAAACAGAAATTTACAGGTTTGGATTTATTGATTTATTTTTTAAAAAGCAGAAGGAGTCTGCTAGGCTTCTTCAAAGTCATGTAAAAGAGATTTTTAAATAAAAATGAGGACGAGAACCAAAAGAAGCCTGCCTTACTACATGTGAGGGCTAAAGCTGCCAAGGCTGGAAACGAACAGTCAGAGGCCTGACAGGACCATTATCAAAATGAAGTGCAGGTGGCCTCCACCTTCAAGGCTGACAAATAAGGAGCAAAAATCTGTTCCCACATTAGGGCAGGAGCAAGAGAGGTAAGATTTAAATGCTGAGGCCGGATGGTGATACACTGCAGGAACAGATATTCTTTGTTATTATGGCGGCTTGTAACGGCAATAAAAATAACTTATCTGGCTGAACCTCGTCCTTGACTCTTCCACTGCTGGCTCCTGAGTGCCAGCTGAATTTATAGAGAGAGAGTTATTGCTACACAGTGGGCGAAGCTTGGCCGCTGCCCTTGCCATTCTCCTTTAGGATTAGAACTGGGAGCAATGGTTTCCACAGAACTTCATAATGTAGCCTAGGAGGAAGTTTTGTTGCACTCTGAAATGATAATCAGATAAAACAACTGCCTAATCCCGAGAGCCACTAGGAATATATATCCAGTTATTTTCACATCCAGGGGATTCTCTACCTGAACTGCCCTTATGCATATCCTTATGTAGGATTTAGCTTCTGTTCTTCAGCCTTTCCTCTCTGTTCCATTCGAAGCAGTTGGGTGTTCACATTCTCTATCTTTCTGACCCATCACACCACTATCCTTAGCTTGGGCACTTTCATTTGCTCTCTTAAGAGTAGTCTTTCCCCAACCTGGTGCCCTCCTGAACTATTGCATTTCAACACCCATAATTCTCAGCCAGCATGTGACAACAGCATTCTCAGGTTTGAAGTTGTTTATTAGCGAAACACCTGCAAAAGGCTGTGGCATATTACAGTAAAGGTCTTCTTGTGCCATGCATCTCTTGGAGTTATTATTTCTTTGTTTCTTAGATTTTTATCCCACCATAATCATCTGACTCTCAGCAGTGTACAAGACCATAGAAAGTCCACAGTAAATATAAGATACTAGTACAATCATAAAATTTTTAAAAATACAGCCCAAAGAAATGGAGGAGCATACAAAGTTCCTCTGATGTAATTGAAAAAGCCCACCAAAAACTCAACTCTGCTTTAATTTGCTTCTAGAAGATCACCAGAGTTGGGACAAGTTTAACTTCCAGGGGAAAGGCTGTTCCACAACAGGGGGGCCATGGTTTCAACTCGCATGACTACCTTTCTGGAATAATTTAGAACCTGAATCCGGTTCTAAATTATTCCAGTAAATTGTATTAGTGGAATGGAGGTGAAAAAGGAGGTGAGGGATCACCTCCAAATACTACAAAATATAATGGCAATGTCCAAATACCTTGGGCAGGGAGGCAATAAGGCCTATAGTTTGCCCACCTGTCCTTTATACCCTTTAAACAACAAGGAGAAATATAATTTGCCATCCATGCCTCAATATCCAACATTCATTGAATGTAAAGGAAAGTTGTGGGCTTACAGGTAAGGCAGAGCCTGCTCTAATTGCCTTAAAATTTCCTAATTAAAAATCCCTCCTGACTGAAACAGAAACACATAGCAGGACAAACTTCTGAATATGACTGACAACTGCCTTGCTTATAGGCAGATAAATGCAAAATAGCAATGGAAAATTTTACTCGTTTGCACTTTTATCAAACCTGTGTGAGAAATCTTTTGTTAGTCCAGCGTTATAAGGAATTAAGCTATACTCTGAAGAGGTGTAATTTAGATGAATTAGATCTAATTAAACAAGGCACCTGAGTTCAATCTATTCACCATCTTTAATATTGATGATTATGTGTTGAAGAAAGAATATACACAAATACGTCTGAGAATGTTCTACCAGGTGGAAAAGAAAATATGGCAATGTACGTATCCATCTATATCCATGCACCCCTCAAAAGGATAAGTTTGATCAAAACTGAAAAGTTAATCTCAATAAGCATAATAAAGGGCTATAACAAGAAGATAGTTTTAATCTAGGTGAGCAAGAAAGAAGGAGAACGTAAGATTTAACCAACTGGAACACAAGGAAGAACTTGTGACCATATGATATCAAAATGAAGACATGTCTTATGGGGATCAATCTCATCCCTTGCTAAACCCTTAATCAGTGCTAATTAGCTAAAGAAATCTAAACTGTCACTAATTGCTTAGTAAAGGCCACCTTCAACTAAAATGAAAGAATCTCCTCACAAGTGTTCATGTCTGAAGGATTTGATGTGCAGAAAGACTACAGCAATTTTAAAATGAGAGGAGTGGGCAGCTTGGGGCTTCTCTAGTCTGAGGCTTCCTTATCTGGGTAGTTTCTAGCAAAGCATGTAGCACTGAGATACCATTGGTGGTATAAACTACAGCCTAATTTATTAATCTAAGGGCAAGGATAAAAATATTTTAGTGTGCAAGTGTATCTGGAATGCTGCACAAACACCACAAAAGCAGGAGAATTTGAAGCATTTCACATACAATATCTTGATCATTCTTAAAGCAGCTTGTTAGGTCATGACTACTAAGAGATCCAAGCTTCTGGGAACAGACTGAAGAACTTCTCCAAATGTGAAGAAATACAGTGGAACCTCGGGTTACGAACGCCTCTGTTAATGAACTTTTCGGGTTACGACCAGCTCCGGCTGCATAATTTTGCTTTGGTTTGCGAACTCCGCCTTGGGGTACAAACAGGATACACGGCCATTTTCCCTCCCGTGACACGGTCCACAGCCATTTTCCACCCCTGACACATGGTTGTAGGGAGGGGGACTCTCCCTCCAAGCAATAGCCACCTCCCTGTCCTCCACACCA